GTAAAATTGATTTTAAAAATATATTTATATGTTGAGATTTTTAAATCAAATTTTATAAAAACAAATATTAACTAATTTTTAAATATTTAATAATTTTAAAAATTAATATTAGATAATATTTAATAATTTTAAAATTATTTTTGAATATTCAATAATTAAAAACATGAAGAGATAAGAGATAAGATAAAAATATATAAGTGGAATAAGAAAAAAAATATGAGAAATTTCAAATTCTTACTTTTTTAGGAGAATTTGAAATTCTACTATTTCAAGGAATTTTACAAATGCTTGAATTTCAAATTCCTTATAAATTCTCTATCAAAACAAAATATTTTACCTCAAAGAATTTGAAATTCTTCAAATAAATGAATTACTCCATTTAAATTCCTCATCCAAACACACTATTACTTTCTTTAGTATCGGTGAGAAGTAAAAACTGGTCTTAGGCCCCTGTTTTATCAAAATAAGGTAAGAAGTAAAAAAGCAATGGTATAATTGAAAAATAATAATTTATTTTTAAGCTTTAAAAATAACACATAAAATGGAGGAAAAACTTTCTCAAAATCAATACTTGAAATAGAATGGACGTAATATAAATTTGCTTATTGAAGTCTCTGAATTTCTAGATTAAATCCTATTTGAACTATGTTATTATGAGACAATTAATCTTACAATCATGTTATCTCTTAGGTAAAACAGTTCTTACTTTTAATAAATTTTTAACAATTATATATAATTCTAACATTTTCAATGAATAACCAACAAAATATTATCTTATATGACAAAATTATATGTATATAATTGAATATGACTCTTTAAATAGCACCTTTTTTTGTTTTTTGTTGTTGTTGGATCTAGTAGTCTCTAGAAGTAATGATAAAAAGGATAATAATAATAATAATAATAATAATAATAATAATAATAATAATAATAATAATAATAATAAAAGTGAATTAAGTAGTCAACAGAATAGGTTAATTAAATAACATGGGTTGAAATATTCTATAATCCAAGTTAATTAATAAAAGAATAGTCAAAATTTTAAATTTAAGATTAATGAGCTTGCTAAGTATATGAGAACTAAGTATACTTTTTATGTCAACCTTGTGTTCTTATAGACTTTTTTTAAGCCTTGAAAATAGATTAAGAATGAGAGTAATGTCAACATACACTTCATAATATATTTTCTAACATATATTTTAGTATGATTTAAAGTTGATTAAAAATAACAAAATTAGAAAAGAGATTCATCAAATAATAAATAATAAAAAATTATGATTGCTAATAAACTTTAATTATATAAAAAAAAAGTATTTAAAAGAATGCACCCATAATATGTCTCCTGGAAATAAATAGAGTATGCACCCATAACTTGTGAAACTTTGTTCTTAAATTGATATAAAATAATCGATTATAGAGTAAAAATGATTGGTTGAAAAGATTTGAAAACTGGTCAAAGGACGAAGGAAGGAAGGCACGGTGTTTGTTTCGCAACACTTTTGTTGCCATTTTTCTTCTCAATGTCAGAGAGCACGTTTGGAAAACCGTTTTTTTAACAAAAATTTAAAAATATATTTTTCAAAGTACCAAAATATAAAGTATCTATTTTTATTTTTTCCGTTCATCATACGTTTGTCAAATTTTAACAATATAAGAAACACACACTCAATTGTCAACCTTGTCGAAGTCGTACCACCTTTCCATCAGCCAAATAAGATTTTTGTTCGTTTAAGTCATCATATCCACTTATCGATAAACATTAGTGTCCACTCATTTTTTTTTTTGGGTTCAATGAACACGCAATATTAGATGATATCACTCTATTTCAATATATTCTTTCTAATATATATTTTTTATTAGTTAAAAACTACAAATGTTGATAATGGGAATTTAATTTGCATCTGATTTGAGTATTTTAGTGGGCCTTGAAGGGTTGCTTCCTCTTCTTCTTCTATTTTCTTCTTGCTTTTGGGTTAACAAAAGGTAAGTTAAACTCGTGTTAATTGTGTTGGATGCATATTGATTAATGTTGTCTATAATCATTGAATTTGTAAGGTACTAAACCCGAAGAAGGCAAAGCCAATTTTGACAGTTAGGACCGATAACACCGGACTGCTAACAAGGAGCGGGCAGCAAGGAGGAGTCAGAGTTTTAGGAGTTGAGAATTGAATTTATTGAGATGATAATTTATAAACTTACCACTTAACTTTTACGCATACTTAAAGTAATGTAACATTTAATAATAATTTAGTTATATATTATATATGATAAAAATTTATTTCTAATATTTAAAAATATTATAATAAAAATTCATAATAAATTATAACTAGCTTAACATGAGTTAAAAATAAGATTTTGAGTTGAAAAGTTAATAGAAAAAAAGTTCTAGAAAATAATTTATATATAAACTGATTTTAGTTTATAAAAGAAATAATTTAATTTAATTTTCAATTTTAATTTTCTACAAAAAGCACTAGCATGAATGCATGATAGATTAGGGGGTTTGAGTGATAGGTAGGATGTGAAAAGTGGAGGGGTGTGTTCATACCATTTTATTCCAACAATGGGAAAGAATTAAATGGTTCCAAATTGTGGAAAGGAAAATGGAGAATTTAGAGGAATTGAAGAATTAGTGTGTGGTTGTGGAGAGTTGTTGAATTTTTTACATAAATAATATATTTTTAAAAATTACAAAAGTAACATCTGTGCAACTTTATTTACTCAACTAGAATCAATCACTGTTCATGTTCAGAATTCGGTTTTCCGGGAACCGAATTCTGAGCTTCAATTTTATTTTTTTTTTGTTATCAGAATTCGGTTCTCAAGAAACCGAATTCTGAGTTGTTTTAATTTTTTTTTTTTTTTGCGTTTGTGGCCCAGTTTGGGCGAATCTGAGAAGTGGAACGGGCCGTTCTGTTTCGGCCCGTTCTGCTTAAACGCATAGAGTGTTATTTTTGAAATTGGAACGGGTGCAGAACGGGCCGTTCCAATTTCAAAAATAACACTCTATTCGTTTAAGCAGCTTCCGGAACGGACCGTTCCACTTCCCATATTCACCCAAATTGGGTCACAAATGTAAAAAAAATTTAAAAACAACTCAGAATTCGATTCTCCGGGAACCGAATTCTGAGCAAAAAAAAATAAAATTTGAAGCTCAGAATTCGGTTCCCCGGAAACCGAATTCTGAGTGTGAATAGTGATCAGTTATAGTTGTGTAAATAAAGTGTAACAGATGTTATTTTAGTAATTTTTTTAAAAAAAAATTCTATTTATGTAAAAAATTCGAGAGTTGTTTGGGTTTCCTTTCCGCCATTTATGAAGCAGGAATTATAAAAATGAAAGAACATGACGATTGGCCACAAAACCAATTTCTTTTGCTTTCTGCTTCGCAGTACCCATTCATCCTCTTCACAAATTTCTCGCTTTCAACCACTCCCATTTTTTTTTTTTTTTTTATTTTCTAAGGAACCTTACGTTACTTATCATCACTAATAATTTCATAACCACTAATAATTTCACAAATCAATTTGAATTAGAATTTTAATAATTTTTTCAAAACATTTATCATAAAATTTGGTATTATTTAGTAAAAAAAATTTAATATAAAAAGTCGTATGATATTAAAATCGTGATTCTTTATTTGAGTATATTAAAGTCTAGGATAATTTAATTAAGATAATTATGATTTTTTTATGAGTCTATCAAAATTTAATGATATTTAATTAAAAAAATTATTTAAAAAATGTTTTTTGATATTTAAAATCATAGAGATTTTAATAAATTATTTTAAATAATAGATTTTGTGAGATATTTTAGAAAAAATTATATTTAATTCACTTATCTAATAATTTCACAAAATTCTTTGACATTCCATGACTTTTTTTTAATTTTTTTTCTCTCTCTTGAATCTTCCTTCTCATCTATGCTCACTCTCTTCCTTATCTTATATTCTATTCTCTCCTCTTCTTTTCCCCATCTTAGCTTCTCTCTCTCTTATCTAGTTTTTTCTTTCTCCTTTTATTCATCTATCTCATTTATCATCTCTAAAATTTTGCAAGTCATGGTAATGAACCCCAAAATAAAAATAAAGTACTCAATTTATGTTATACGTCCTTAAAAATGTGATTGAAAGGATATTTGATATTTTTAAATCATGTTTTATAATTTTTAAGTCAATATCTCTATTTCTATTTAAGTAGCACTACATAATTTTATTTGTAAAGAATGTTGTTTGGATGAATTTCAATTAAATAAATGAATGAAATTTATTTTCAATGCTACTGAAGGACCTCAAAATAAAAATAAAGTATTTAACTTATGTCATATGTCCTTAAGAAATGTGATTAAGAGGATATTTATATTTTTAAATCAACGTCTATTTCTATTTAAGTGGCATTACATAATATTTTTTCTACAAATAATGTTGTAGTAAATTTTTAATTGAATAAATGAATGAATTTTTATCTTCAATGCCACCGATTAATAAAGGCCATAATATTGAATTGTTCAAATTCAAGAACATGAAAGATAATATTTTAGTGTATAAATGACTATTATAACTTTAACTATATGAAAAAATGTTAGTTATTAGAACATTAGATTCAATTATTTGTCAAAAGATAAAAAAATTTGTATTAATTTTACTATTTTTTATTATTTATATTATATTTTTATATATTAATTCTAGTAGCATTAAATGTGTTTTACATACTCATGTTTTATAGTAAAATCTGTAAAATCCTTTAAAATCTTATGATGTAAATTCATCAAAATTTGTTAAGTTCATTAAAATCCAAATTATAAAGTTTTAATTAAAATTCATATTTTAAAAGTCTGTTAATTTTTTTTAAAAGTCATGAGATTCCTTCAAATTTTTTTAAAATTCATTAAAATCTAAAAAAAAATTTAATTCTAAAATAATCTTCCCAAATCTTAATCCTATACACTTATCTTTCCTATACACTTATCTAAATCTTGATTTTACAATAGATATATTATTTTTTAAAATTCAAAAAATACTTATACCAAAACAGTGTTTTAAAATATGAGTAATTACATCCTCTTAAAATATTTCTAATCGAAAATTTAAAGTTTAAATTTATTCTTTAATCATTATAATTTTATAGATATGTAATTTTAGTTTTCAAATTTTTTATTATAGATTTATTTTTAAAATTTTAAAACTAAGTAATGTTGATGTTCTGTTTACATGTCATACAAGGTTAATAAAAAATGTTAAAAAGTATTTATGATTTATATTAATTGTAATTAGTTTGTCGCATAAAAAAATAGTAATATTAAAAGTTAAAAATAAAATTATTTTAATAAATTTTAATTAAGGTAAACAAGAAATATAATATATTTATCGTAAAAAAATAATGTTATTTTTTACGTAAAAAAATGGTATTACCAAATAACTGTTAAATACTCTCACTCTCATGTACATTAATATTCTCTATTAATTTTAAATTATTATTATTATTATTATTATTATAGAATTAATATAAAATTATATATATAATTTAAGAGTAAACCCTAAATATGAAACTTTTAATTTAATGGTTAAATTTACAAAATTCATATTTAATATAAAATTATTGAACGGTGTAATATTTAATAAAAATTACACCAATATTATTATAATCTACCTCTATATATATATATATATATATATATAAATTAACAGTGAACTAATATTAATTTTAAAAATTGGAGACCAAATTTACGATAAAAAGTTTTGAAACTAAAATTATACATGCGTGAAATTGTAAGTAAAATAAAAATGGATTTAACTTTTAAGAGAAAAAAAAACAACTCTTAATTTGATTGATTTAGGACAAAACTAACTGCATAGGCTATAATGTTGGCATGGCTTATTGTTCCTAAATCCTAATCCGATACGACGAACGCACAAAGGTAAATGGATCGTATTCACATGCATATGCATTGCATTGCTCACTCCCAATGGGGACCCTTTTGCAAAATGCTTCTTCACTTTTCTTCAATTCATCACTTTCTACAGCACCTAAAATTTCCCATTACCAGGTTCGCTTTTCAACCCCTCCCAATCACAAACCCACAACCAGAAGGGCCTTCATCTTCAACATGGCACACTCCCCAGGTGATTTATGTTGCCTTTTCCATGGCAAAATTGAATCTTTGATAAATTTAAAAGAAAAGAAGCCCATACAATTGATGTGTTAATTACCCTTTTAGTTATTGAGCAACACAGAGTGATAATACCCAACAAGCACGGTGAAAAGCTAGTGGGTATATTAAATGAATCTGGAAGCAGGGAGATTGTAGTCTTGTGCCATGGTTTTCGCTCCTCTAAAGTTAGTTTTCGTAATATACCAAGTTTTTATACTTAATAAATCCCCTTTATCTAGTAAGTTTCATTGCTTTTGCTTGCTAATGTTCAGGAAGCCAATGCCTTAGTGAACCTTGCTGCTGCTTTGGAAAAGGCCAGTATCAGTTCTTTCCGCTTTGACTTTGCTGGAAATGGGTAAGTTTAGTGTTAGTACAAAACAAGACCGTAAATCCTATAGATGTTATTGTGTATACTTCTTCGTCTGTGAATTATGCAAGTGGCTTCTTACTGTAAATGTTTGTGAAATTGTATTAACATTATGCTACATGTGATGAGATTGTTTGAAAGATATGTTTGATAAAAATATTTTTAATATGAAAGCATTAAACTTGGGTTGTTCCAGTTGGAAAAAAAGTAGTGTATAAAATTAGATTAGATGAATAATAGGCAAGGGTAATTTACTGCCTCATTTTAGGAGTTGGAGCTTGGAACAACTTAACTTGGCATCTCTCTCTATGACATAGTTCAACGACAATAACAACCATTAGAATCATACTGGGGCTCTTCAACTACATAACGTTGATCTTTAGTAACAAAGCTCTGAAGATACCATTGACCAAAACTGCTTAACAACAGCTCATGTACTACTCATAGATTACCAAGATAATATGGGATATGAATTTGCCAATAAAGAGGTTTATTGGTAAACTAATTACAAATATCACCGGACAGCTATTATCACTGCTTACAGGACTATGCAACCTTCAATGCTTTTTAAGCATATGTTCCTTGTCCTTTGGCCACATTTACACTTTGTTATGTTATTAAAATTTTTGTCATTTGATGTTGATCATAGTCTTACTTCACTCTATGTTGCCCTTAATTTAGCTGCTGAATTGTCCTTCTAGGGAAAGTGATGGTTCTTTTCAGTATGGTTACTATTGGAGGGAAGCTGAGGATTTACATGCTGTTACTCAACATTTTCATGAATCAAACCGTGTGGTTAGTGCAATTGTTGGGCACAGTAAAGGTATTTTAACTTGTTCTCCTCATCTGCAAGTATTTCTACCAACAAGAAAAGGTTGGGAAAGATAAGTCACAGATAGCATTTTGGATGTAGGTGCTGATTTTTATAATCAGTGGTTGATTTCATCCTATTATGAGATTGTTCTGATCATTTAATTTCCTACTGGCTTGGCTCTAAAGATAGAAACCATAAATGATGCAACATGAAGAGAGTTATATTATTTCTGACAGAACCAGGATCAGCACGCAGTTAGTTGGTTCTTAATAACTAGATGAATATTCTATTATGAGATTTTAGGAAATATATCGAAATAGAAAAAAACTGGTTTATATTTCTGTGCTGCTCAGCAAAAACCTGCTACAGAGGGACTTGCTGAGTATCTTTCATTTTAATGTAATGTTGTGAATTAGGATCATAGAAATGCAAGTATTGCGGGCTATACATTTCTTAAACTTGGTATTTTATAGGAATGAGTAAATTTGATGAAAATTTCTACACTCCAACTCTTTATTGATGGTCATTTTCTTTACATTTGTAGTTGGTGAAACCCAATTTATTTGTGTAGCTTTGACCCATACATCATCCCAAATTGCTTCTCTGAATTTGTTTTTCAGTTTTGCATGCATAATTGAACTATTATTAGTTGTTGCTGTGTCTTCATGCAGGAGGTGGCGTGGTGCTTCTTTATGCTTCTAAATATCATGATATTAAAACAGTTGTCAACCTATCTGGACGCTATGATCTGAAGGCAGGAATTGAAGAACGCCTTGGAAAAGATCATATGGAAAAAATTAGGAAGGATGGTTTCATTGATGTGACAAGATCAGGTAACCTGTCATTTAATCACAAAAGTTTCAATGGCTATTGGTGTTGGAGCATGTTATAAGAGATAGTTTGAACATATTTAGTGTCTGTCAGTTACTTTTTTTCCTACTTTGAGCTTATTGTACAAATGTCTTTGCTGAAATCAGCAAGTCCAGAACCAGGGTTTGTTTTGCTTTCGTCGTACACTATAATTTGGAATTGGTATTATTCTACCCTATAAGCACAAAGTCTGCCATACTTTTATTTTGCTGCATTTCATTCTCTTAAATTGGTATGAAACAACCCCAAAAAGAAGGGGGAAAATGAAGACAAAGAGGAAAAAAAATGAAAAATCTAAGCAATAATTATCAACCATTGTCTTTAATACTTGAAGATTGGTTGGCAGCCATTATAGGCAATCTGCCTGATTACGTGGCATTCTTTATTTTAATCTGTTTTACATAAACACACTTGTTTTAATGTTATATGTCAATTTGGGGTTGGGGGACGTCTCTACTGTTGCAGGAAATTTTGAGTACCGTGTGACTTTGGAAAGTTTGATGGATCGCTTAGATACAAATATGCACGAAGCTTGTCTTCAGATTGATAAAGAATGCAGGTGAGGGAAATTTTTTGTCTTATCGCTTCTGATTTACCCTTTTGCATCTTTTTGTTGATAAAATCTGTGTAGAAATTACATAAGCTTTACATTTGAAAGCATTAAAACTTAACCCTTATTTGAATAAGTTTTTCCGGAAGTACTTAAAAAGGAAAAAGAATTTTTTTTTTCATAAACTAAAAATAGTGTATGTATAACTTTAAATCAGTTTTTTTTTTTTTTTTTTTTTTTTTTAATTTATTTTTTT